GCTACCTTCGTTCGGTTGGTGGAGTCTTCATGCACTCCAAGCTTGAGGCACTTGCCGAACTGCTCGTAGAACTTCTTGTAGTCGTCCTTCTTCTCGGCAATCTCGGCGAACATCTCCAAGCACTTCTTCACCAAATTCTTCTTGATCACTCGCAGGATCTTGTTCTGCTGAAGGGTCTCGCGAGAGATGTTCAAAGGCAAGTCCTCAGAGTCCACGACACCCTTCACGAAGTTCAGCCACTCTGGCATCAACTCCTCGCAGTCGTCCATGATGAAAACACGGCGCACGTACAGCTTGATGTTGTTGCGCTTCCTGCTTGCTGAGTGCCCTAGCCTGGCCTCAAATTATATTTCCCACTGCGAACTACAAATCAGCAACGCCAAAAAAAGAAGTTCAAAGTGTTTTCATTGGTCAAGTGAGTTTCTTCTTGGTCTCAAAGAGGTCGAAAGGAGCCCGGCGAGGCACAAACAGCAGCGCACGGAACTCCAGTTGGCCTTCAACGCTGAAGTGCTTGACAGCCAAGTGATCCTCCCAGTCGTTGGACAAAGACTTGTAGAAGCTTGCATACTCTTCGTTGGTCACATCCTCAGACTTACGCATCCACAACGGCTTGTTCTTGTTGAGCTGCTCCCACTCATGGGACACCTCCTTGACCTGTTTGCAAAGAACTGCAACTTCGTTGTCTGTCAAGTTGGCATGAAGACAGGTATGACACGTGAGGTAAAGTCGTAGGTACATTGGCCCTTGTAATAACAAACGTCCTAGAAGATCTGTGTCAGCTACACAAACCCAGGTCCTTCTTCGTTTTCTTCTTCTTCTCCTCCTTCTCCTTCTCCTCATCGACCTCCTCGATCTTGGGCTCGTCACCCTCTTCCTTCTTCTCCTCTTCACCCTCATCCTCGCTGTCGGTGACCTCCTTCTCCTTGCTCTTCTCGACATAGAGCTCGATTGGGAAGCCGATAAACTCGGAATGCTTCTTCACCAAGTCCTTCAGGCGGCGCTCCTCCAAGAACTCGGATTGGTCCTCTTTGAGGTAGCAAATGATTTTCGTACCGCGCTTGATCTCACCATGCACAAGCTCAGTGTCCTTCTGCACAGTGAAAGAGCCACCAGCTCCCGACTCCTCACTTAGCCAGAGAACCTGCTAGGAAATGAAAGGTTAACCCCCTTTAGGGCTACTGAAAATGAATTTCAACAGGTTAAAGGCCAATGTTTGCCAACTAAGGTTCCCAAATGTACTGCTCATCGTCATTGTGCTTGCTCACAACGCGAACCTTGTCTGACACAAGGTATGCGCTGTAGAAGCCGACACCGAACCTGGGATTTGCGAGGGGAAGCTGATAGAAATGGAAAGAACAGTCTAAGACAAATACATATTATATATCTTGAAGGACAGGACTTTACAACCTCCATATGAGCCAAGAAAAAGTGGCTAAACAAATCGTCTTATCGGGGTCCCAACCCCCCCGATTCTGTAGAAGAAATTCCATCCCCTATTTACAATATATAGTCTTAAAATGACAACGTGCCACACCGTATACAATCCAAGTAACTGGCCAATCATGGAGATGTCACCCCCAGCAGCCATAGCTTCCATGAAAGCTTTGGTGCCTGACTTGGCAATAGTGCCCAAGTTGTTGATGAGTTCATTCTTGGTCATGCCAATGCCAGAGTCCTCGATGGTCAATGTCGAGTTCGTCTTGTCTGGCACGATCCTGGGCGCCCGCTCATGTTGTCAGGGTCAACGGAAAATAGACAAGTGTTTAGAAAAGAGTTCGTTTGAGTCAGTTCAACATAGTGTTTGAGACAATTCATGAAAAAAAGAACACTTAGACGTGCTCCACCAAGGTTCCTAGAAGTGTGGACAGCACCTAAACAGCCTAAACAAACAAAACGTATACAAACATGTAAGGCCTTATGCGAGGCGAGTCGCTTGATGAAGAAATTGGGCTGGGCCTGACCAGCGAGGCGGTTTTGCTTGTAATCCTGTCTCCTGATGTGATCAGCCCTGCAACCATCTAGCGTGCGGTAGCGGCCGTAGCTTATACCGCCCTAATACCATCAGGCCCCGGAGGCGGGGCCTTTACAATCCTAAATGGTGCTATCACATACTACTGAACAACACCTTGTAGCTTCCCTGTGGGAACCAACAAACTACAACTGGTGCCCCACAACCTGACGACTGGGGAAGCGACTGTTCGACCTGGGAGGCCCAGCAGGTCTGGTCGCAGCTCCGGTTTCATGTGTTTGGGGATGGATGCAGTGCATCAAAATGGATGTTCATATGGTTTTGGGTCAAACCCAAGATACCTGGGCTGACTGACTTTCAAAGTCAAGCTACATGCTACATGGTGTTGGGGGTTCCAGGTTTTGACCCGTTCCCATATATCCTCATATGGTCCATGTAAGGAAAATGTTGCACTAAAACAGAGTAAATCCACACACAAAAGAAGCGAGCTGGGCCTCGATCTTGTCCGGGTCGGTGATGGACTCGTAACGGATCTTGTCCAAGGCATCCGAGGCATTGGAGATCAACTCTCGCAAGAAGATTTCCTTGTTGGAGTAGAACGTATTGATAATCCTTAGGGGGAATCGATGAAAGATGCCTCAACCTAACACGGGTTAGAGGCACAGGATGCCCGCCCGGTTTGCTAGACCCCGCCGCCATGGCAGCGGCACTGCGAAAAACATCCAAACCAGGGGGTGAGTTCGGAAGCAACAGAGGTATGCACACCGCCCCGCAACGTCGGACTGACCGAGGAGATACGACGCGCAGCCACGCAAACATCAGACATCTGCGAGATGTGATTCACGCATTCAGCGACGTTCAAGGCACCATCCCCAACTGTTGCGCTGTGCCAAAACGGAAGCGGGTACGGCTGACAGGCGCGTCTGCGAATCTTCGATCGAGATGCGCAAGTGTGAGCTACACTCAGCCGCGGAAGTCACGGCATAGTAGGAAAATACTTGTGTTCCCCAACGGAAACGCAACGCCAGGAGGGGGGTCTCGGCATAGCCCTTGCAAAAACCCCACATGGAAGCGCTATGATTCGGCAATGTCATAATGTTTTTATGTGTTCTGAACGCCCTTCCACAATTGTCATGTGTTCACAACAAGCTTCTTGCATGGAAATGCAATGATTTAGCAATGGTGTAATCTCCCTTGTGGTCCCTTGACATCTCTCTGAACCAGGCTCTGGACACTTTACTTTAAATCATCCTAAATCACACAAGTTGCAAAGAGGTACTGGAACGAGGGTGAACGAGAGGGTGAACGAGGTCAGAACCCATGCCAGCAAGGAAAACCCCAGAATGAAAACCTCTAGTTACCTCATCATGTATATGAGCACATCCCCTTTCTTTCTTTCTTTCTTTCTTTCTTTCTTGTCTCCCCGCTTGTCTGCTGTGATCGGCGTTTTGTTTGCCGCGGCTGCCTTGTCCTCCCCAACCAAACGCGACATCGCCACGACTTCCATACATTCCAATCCCAATGGAAACGCTTCAAAAATAGAAAACCGCCACGACGACTTCAACATTTGATTGTAGAGGTGTACAGGGTCTCGTGCGTGCGAATCTGAGTGCGCATGTGAGGCTCTTTACATCTACGTACTCATCATTGCGCGACGGTCGCCTCTTCACCGCACATGGCCGCTTCATCGTGGCCCTTCTTTTGCTCCTGGTTCTTTGTTTTGAAGGTTGTCGCAACCGATGTGAACCGAACTTGTGCTATAGTTGTTTCAAGTCGTTTTTTGCTTCCCTCACACCATTTGCTGATGAAGGTGTCGCGTGCAAGTCACTGAGTCAAGGCCTTTGGAGGTCACCAGGGCCTTTGCTTCGAAATTCTAAAGACATCTCTTTGGGGCAACTGGCATGGTTACTGACCAAGTATCAAGCTCATCAACTGCTGGATGTCAGCATTGAAGGCGAAGGTCTCCGCCATTGCTGGAAGAGGACGGGCGAATGGTTTCACGTCTCAAAACTTTGGTGCAAATCCTTGAGGCAGCACAGTTCGATCCCTTCTCATCAAACTCGGACCCTAAAGAGATGGAGTTCAAAGAAATCTCCACCACTTGCATGTCTTGGACAAGTTGTCCCTTGATTTGGAGACACATGGAGACACGTTCCTTGCATTTCACTGAACAGCTTTTACAACCATGTTGACCTTCCAAAGTGTACTCTGATTTGCATAAGGAACCGAGAAAAAGTAGATTCAAAACTTCCCCGGAAGGGGATTTGGCCCACAAGATGCCCATATGGAAAATAGAAAGTCACACAGCTCCACTCCCTGCAAGTCATGCCCGCTTTGCTCCACAGCCCTTCAGAACGGCGTGGGCTTCTGCCGAAAGAATGCGGCTTTCTCCCAAACCAAACTTGGCCAATGCATCGAAGTGGCCCAAATTTGGACGGTGAAGGTGTCCTGAATGTTTGGGCCCGGAGACCGCGTTTCAGCCAATGCAGCTCGAGCTGACTGATCCATGGAACATTATCTAAGAAAGGAAGTTGGATTGGAGGAATCTGCGTGCCCTCAAAGTCCCAGGACCCTACAAAGTATGGCCTCCGCTGAATAGGGACGAAAAAGTACATTGGCCGAGGAAACCATAGAAATGTCATGAAATGTCGACTTGCATAAGCCCAGTGAACTATAGACATGCAGAGGCTCCAAGGTTCAATCGTTGATTATTTGGTGCGCTTCAAGATCGGGTAACCTCCTCAAATCTCCAACAAAGGGCTTCAATAATAGGACAATAATGGAAAATAACATGGATGAAATAATAGGACAATAATGGAAAATTAGCAACTGAAATGGATGAACACCTCGAGAAGCCAAGAGCATCAATTCGGCATCCCAGAGCGCCCTCTTTGTTTCCATAGCCTCGACCTCTACACTCTCAGCTACGGGCTGCGCGTGGGACTGACCATCCTGGATCGCAATTGTAATGAACCAAAAACACTACAAAAACAACTAAAACAAGTTTTGGTCTCTTCCATCTTCATCTTCATCTGAATTAGAGTCTTCCATTCTCCAACCAGCTCCCTAAACCAAAAAAAAATCCTCCTTCCCCGTCCCCAGCCGCAACGCCCGAGGAGCCAGTTGCGGTGCCAGCACGTTCAGGGACGCACCAGGCTCGACCGCATCCGCGTCCACCGCTTGGGCCAAGGCCAAGGCCTCGCACAGGAGCTCGGCCACGGTGACCTGGGCCGAGCTGGGCCACGGTGGTGAGACATGGAGACCTGGAGATCGAGGTGTCGCGAGGGAGGAGTGGTTCATGGTGTTTTGTGCTCAATTGGAAATTGTCATTTGTTGTTCATGTTTTGAGCAGAAAAGACTTTGGTTTCAAGGAGTGGCCATTGAGATCCGTTGCCACTTAGATCCGTGCTTGGGACGATGGGTTCAGGCCGGGTTCCTATGTAAACATCCAAAGACCCCCAGCCACCTCGCTGAATTGGGCGGTGTTTTAGGGTCAACCGGTGCTCCTCTCCCGTCGAATGCATCGCCCAGGTGCCGAAGAAAGCCCGACCTGGGGACCGAAGGTCGGACCCGAAACGGAGGGTGTCAGGACAGCCACTCAGTTCAGTTCAGTTCAGCCACTCAGCGACCAAAAGCGACCAAAAGCGAACCTGCTCGTTCATTCAATTCAAGAAGTGATTCACTCTGAAACGCAGAGGCTCCACCAGGATGTTCCTACCCTCTGTCAGGTCTCGCTTCCAGGCCTTCACCGCGGCCAGCAGGCACCGCTCCGACAGCTGCTGCAGCGCTCGGGCCGCGCGGTCCTCCGGCGGCGCGCTCCGGGGACAGACCTGCCGTGCGGAGCCCGACCCAAGTGCCGCGGTCGTAGAGGGAGGGGACGGACACCGGTGTTGTCAGCCCCCCTGTCGAGGAAAGAAGTACAGAACATCATCATCGGAGACCAGGAATTCTACATCCGGCCCAGGTGCGTTTTTGTAAACTGAAACGGATGGTCCTGGGATATGCTTATCACCTGAGGAACTCGGAGCTGCGTCTGGAAAATAGGTACACGGTTAGAGCCGCATGAATCGTCAAAGACCGTAGGATGTTTGCTTGACAGAGAAAGCATATATATATATATATATATGTCGTCTTCCAACTGTGCGCAATTTCTGCCTGTTCATTCATAAAACCCAGCCAAAAGGCAGAGATTCTGCACAGTTGGAAGATCCAGGTATACAGTGTAACCATCTCCAGGTCAACCAATCGATCATTTGAACAACGAACACCATGGTCACCATTGGAGTTTCACCCACGACCAATGTACTCATATGTACTCAATGTACCCAGTTCATACCCCGTATCCTGGTGGACCATACTGAACACTGAGCCACCATTGGTATTTCACCGTGGAGGAGAGCCTCCTGCAACCTCGAAGCCAAGATCGTCCAAAACGCTCCCGCCGTCTCGGAGATCTTCGGAACGGCTCACTCTTTTCAACAATGTTCAATGACAGCAGATGAATGGATGCAGGCTCGGCATCAGAGCGTTTCTGCTTCTAAGTATGAGTTCAAAAGGGGTTTGCCAAGATATTGTCTGACCTTGCTTTGCCATTCTAAGAGGAGTATAGAGAGGGAGCGTGTCTTTCCTATCGTTTTGGAGGCTTGTTCAGCTCTCCTAAACCCATTGTCTCTTCCCTCAGATCGAACCATATCAACTACCGTCACTCAAGAAAGCATTGTCCTTCGGATGTCCCACACAAAACTGTCCTTCACAGAAACAATTGAGGGTGAGCTGGTTCATGGCAGGGTTGCTTCGTCGACAGGAAGAGATACCCCCGCCTTCAGGGCCTCCTCCAGCTCTTGCTTCAACACATGTACCTCCTCTTCCTGATTGGCGCAACGCTTGGCATGTCCACGTGAAGAGGTAGAGCGCTACAGTGGACGTGGGGTTTCAACGGCAAGGCCAACAAAACCATCATTTAGAATTTAGAAGAGTTTTGTTGTAAATAAGCCTAAAAAGTGACCTTTGCCACCCACAAAAGCTGCAGATCATGACCAGCATTGAACGTTTCTGATCCTGCTCAAAGCTCGAAGCAATGCAGCACATTTCACACCTGGAATCACCTCTGCTTGACTTCCGAAAAATGTTGTGCTTTAATCGGTTTCTGAATATTCTGGAGGGGCAGCTGTCCCTCAGCAGTTCCCCATCTTCCAGTGTTTGTTTTCCTTTCGAGGCACTGTGAGCGCTCCCTGGTCGGCTGCTACCGATGTGACACGCGCCTGTGAGACAGAAAAGCGTCCTGGGAGTCCAAGACTATTTAAGCATATTTGAACTATATGGGTGTGTTTTAAAATAGGAAGACCTCTCAAAGACCTCCTGGAAGAAGGGAAATAGTCCAAAACCGGTCCATATGGGTCCGGGGTCCTCTAAGATACAAACCCATATGTTTACAGGTTCACAGCCAACACACAAAGCACCTTTTCTTGAGCCAAACATAGTATGTACGGGGAGCATGGTACACTAAACCAATACAAGAAACATTGTCTGACTAAGTACAGGCACTTGCCGTGGCCCTCCTAAAGGTACCTTCCCGTATGGTACGGTGGTGACTGTAGGAGTGTAAAATAAGTCTCTATATAATTCTATATACAATATTATAATATATATATTATATACTACAGCGTACTACAGTATATATTAGATCCTATGGGAAGCATGGTCTGACGAACGGTGATCCGAGGAAATGGGAATTTCCGACCAACACGAACTCGCGAACGAACTGGACCTCCGGGGAGCTAAGAGCTCGCTGGCGAACTGGCGATCGTGCAGTGGATGGATGTGGAGGCTTCAACCATATTCCGTTCGAGACCGGCAAGTCCGACAAATCCGAAATCCCAGAGCGAGCTTTGTAAAGGGGTGTGGCGCAGTATGGCATGAGGGTTGGTACCAAGGAGCCTTGGTGGCAGTTTGGTCCCTTCGCGGTGCATCGCACGTTCGCCTCGCCATGGATCTACTGCCCACAGATGATTGTTCCAATCATTTTCACATCAAGTCTCACTATGGCAATGCGTCCTTATATAGCCTCCAAAGCATTCTAAAGCAAAATTGAGGGAGCCTTCTTCCACAGCCTGCCGAATTCCCATACACACCTTGTTACAAAGTGGGAGAGTATGTCACTACTGTGAATCCAGTCTCGCTTCCCGTCTGCGCACTACAGCGCCTGTAGCCCCTCCAGCACGGTGCGCACAGGGGTCACAGCTTCCTCCACGCTGGCTGCCGAGCCCATCACTGTGGAAGCCCATGGCGGGGCGAGGTCCCCCAGCGATGATCGGGTTTGCTGGAGTGAACGTAGGACGCGAAGGGCAGCCGCCGGTCACAGCCTGCTCAACGTCTTTATTTCGTGACCGGTGACCATTGGCCAATGTTCACAATGATGATGCCGGCTGTCGAAGAATAACATTATAGACTTTTTTTGGAGCTGTTCTACAGAATGATCAAATATCAACTTGCAGAAAATACCACCAAAATCAGAGGCTTCGGCTTCCTGTAGATGTCCCTCTCGCGAACTATCCATGACCGTGTTTTCAGGGATGGTTTCGACCCCAAGTGTGTCTGCCAGCCACGTCCGCCTTTGGACTCTGAAGTAGAGGCTTGAGCTATCTTGAGCTGCATGCCGAAAGCATGCCACGCATCAAGAAGCGCTAAAACCGCATGCGCTAGGACCGTATGCAATAACGACGGTTTCTTAGAAACTCATGACTCTTAGATGGATTATACCTTGTCATCAAAAAGGCATCCGGATTCTGAACCTCCTGGTACATGCTCAATGACTCTGCGAGTCTGAATTTTGTATGATCAGTCTAATCTTGTCAAGCATGGTGCATGGTCTATCTATTTCAGAAGGTCATAGAAGGTCCCCATCTAAATCCCCCAACATTGATCAACTTTGATTGCAAAAAGGGCGGACGTTGCTCCAACTGTCCCACTACCGATCCGACGGCCTTTTCTTCACTCGAAGCTAAGAGCATCGACCGCTGACGCCCCCGTCCGAGCCGCGCCGCGCCGTTCGGCGCCGCCGAGAACATCGGCGGGGTGCCATCGCCCAGTTGGGCGATGGGTCGCTGGCTGCCCTTGGGCAACGTTGGAGAGGTAGGAACAAGGTTCGCTACTTACTCGGGGCTCCTGGCATCGCTACGAACGGAGCGATCGGACGCTACGAACGGGGCTCCTTTAGACTTTTGGAAAAGGGATGAAAAGGGTAGGTTGCGCCCCCTGCGACTCCTTCGCAAAGCTTGGGTTCTTCCGGTTGAGCTTTCGGTTGTGCGGGGCCTACGGGTGATCAGTCCAACTGGTCGCATCATATCGGCTTTGTGTTGGTTCGTCATCAGGGACCCCGGAACCGGGTGTTCCATGCCACAA